CCAAACCCAAACCCAAACCCAAACCCAAACCCAAACCCAAACCCAAACCCAAACCCAAACCCAAACCCAAACCCAAACCCAAACCCAAACCCAAACCCAAACCCAAACCCAAACCCAAACCCAAACCCAAACCCAAACCCAAACCCAAACCCAAACCCAAACCCAAACCCAAACCCAAACCCAAACCCAAACCCAAACCCAAACCCAAACCCAAACCCAACCCAAACCCAAACCCAAACCCAAACCCAAACCCAAACCCAAACCCAAACCCAAACCCAAACCCAAACCCAAACCCAAACCCAAACCCAAACCCAAACCCAAACCCAAACCCAAACCCAAACCCAAACCCAAACCCAAACCCAAACCCAAACCCAAACCCAAACCCAAACCCAAACCCAAACCCAAACCCAAACCCAAACCCAAACCCAAACCCAAACCCAAACCCAAACCCAAACCCAAACCCAAACCCAAACCCAAACCCAAACCCAAACCTAAACCCAAACCCAAACCCAAACCCAAACCCAAACCCAATTCTAAAAATAGAATTCTTCCAAACCCAATCTTCAAACCCTAGCCCAAAATTATAAACTTATTCAAATATCATTAAATTTTATATCATTCGATTGGAAATGATGAGTAGAACAACGTGTTATATTTAGTTTTTCAATTTATAAAATATTAACTTTGTAAATAGTGGCAGATTAAAATTTGTAAAATGAAACTATAGGAAGAATGATAATTTCAAATCCTTTAATGAGATTATATAGTATATATCATCATTAACAACATCTATAATCACTTTCATATCAAATTTCAAAAGTTCAAGTCTGTAGATATAAAAGTATAGAGGGAAAAGGGAAGTTGTGAGGTACAATAGGTCAACTATAACTTTTGAGTTTCTCATCAAAACATATTGAATCCTGACATGAAAATGTTCCATTTGGTGAGTATACATCGAATATCAAATTTATTTTAACTTTCATATTTAAAGATTTCTTCCCTCAACCATCATGGTC